TCAGGCTAGAAAGCAGCGCTAGGTAGGGGAACATCCAAAAAGGACGCAATGAATTCAAAACCTCTCTTTCCCACCGAGATCTGCAGTCCTGGGTGTGGAAAGGCCCCCTCAAAGGAAAACACTGGATTATTAATTTGATCAGCCAGGCTGGCTCCTCAGGCTGGGGAGGGGTGGGAATGGGAAGCCTTCCTCTGTGCTCATGCGCACCCCAACTCTCAAGCTTACCCCCAAGGCCCTGGATTCTGCCCACTTTCCCTCTTCATTACACCTCAAAGTCAATGGAGGTTAAAAATCAGTCTCTTTTCCCCTAGTTTTCCCGGGGAGTCTGAATTCCTGGGTCTGTTAATGATTTTTAAAATGTAGAGCCTTCCCTGGTCGCTCCTGCCTGGAGTTCCCACCCCTTCCCTCCCCCACCCCACCACCGCAACCCACCCCTTCCTCCCCACCCCAGCCACCGCAACCATTCTCTCCTCTCTGTCCCTAGAGAAAGGCCCGCTACATCCATTTGGATTTATGGTAAAGGTGGATTAGGGACACAAAGGAAACAATAAGACCCAATTTACAAAAAAAGGATGGAGTAGAAAGGAGTAAAAAGGGAGAAAAGAAAACGGTGATGAGAGATAGAAAAGCAACAAAGTGAATAATTTTTAAGGGAGAGGGAGATGGGGAGGGAGGGGAACAGACATCCCTCCCTCCCTGTCAACAGAAGGGCCTAGGGGGCTCTCAGCGCCTTTTTGTCTTGGGCTTCCTAAGTTTTCTCCTAAAAGAAAAAAAAAAGGGGGGAGGTTAACGTTAGGCAGCACTCCATACCTAAAATTCAAGCCAGTGATTTCCTAGGGGTGGAAGACGAGTCTCTGATTGTCCCCAACACATCTTGAGAAAGAGAGACTACTTGAGGTACATTTGCATTCTGATTCTGCACGTCTGGCATTCCCTCTTTCCGAAACTTTGATATTTAAAAAAACAGCGGATACCATATTCATGGACTTTTTACTTGGTTGTGGAGGGGAAAATGTTAGGGAGAGCCTTTGCCTGACCCTTTGGATAGGATACTCTCTGATAGAAGAGAGAATTCACTTGTGGCTCTGTCACCCTGATGAGTTATGTGGTCATCTGAAACTTGCAAAAACAAATAATTCTGGTAGACCAGACAGAGATGAATGCAGATTTAGCTCTGGAGTGCAACTGCTCTACATGGATGTATTTATCTTTTTGAATTGTACTTCAGATTCTCTATTCATCCTTTTTAGAAAAATGAATCAAGTGGGTCCTAGGATGGAATTTTAAATGCTAAGCAAGTTAAATAAATAAGAACCTGCAGATTTAAAGAGGGGGGGAAGATCAAATGAGTAATGATTATTTACATAAGTGAGCCCAAGTTTACGTTTTGATCAGTGTTGGATATGCGCGCCCTCAGCACATATGGAAACGCTCAAGCAAATGGTTTTTGTGTTATTGGCTTTTTGCAATTGGAAATTAATCTATTTTTCTTTTGTTTTTTTTGTTGTTGTTGTTTTGTTTTGTTTTCTTTTGTTTTTTGCAGTTACCTTACTGGATTCCAGATCTGTTCAGGGAGAACTTGGGTGGATAGCAAGCCCTCTGGAAGGAGGGGTAAGTCCTGAGTTGCTCTCTGATCCAAAGGGTAAAAGAGGAGTGATTAGTAACTTTCTGAGAGTCCTAATGGCTTGATTCTTGTTGATTGTGGTGAGGGGGTCAGATTTCCGCTGTGGCCTATGAAGTGAATTACGCTTTGTTGGAGAAATCCTATACTCCCTTTGGATAGCTCTGTCATGGAAGAACTAGAAGCCAAAAGGGCAGAAAGGGGTTTCAAAATTAGGAGATTGGTGGAGGCATAGACTTAGATGCCTATTTAAAACTAAAATACCGACAGGAAATATGATCCGGGGACCAAATTAGAATTTATGCCTATTACTGTGATGGCGGTGAAGTCCTGACAGGGTTAATTTAAGAGCAATTGTCCTGCTTCCAGATGAAAAAAAAGAATAAATAAAGATACGAGAGAGAAGACATTTCTAATTGTACCTGCATGGACTGCAGGAAGGCTCTGTACCTTGCTCTCACTCTTAAGTCAGCTGCTGTTCTCTTGCACACTGGGAGACAGTCATGTGAACTTGTGTCAGAAAAACCCCAAGCTTGTGCATTCATGGTGCTAAATATGAAAAGTTTAAGTGTCTATAACCTTGAAGAATCTTTGGGGATTGAGTAGGCTGGATTATAAAGTCTGAAGAAAGCATCACTTCATTTCTTCTCAAATTTATAACACTTGTCATTGCTGCCTCCATCTTACCAGGTCAATGGCCACATTCTCCTACTCCCCCTAAATCACCAGTCAGAATGAATCAGCTTTGGAAAGAAAACAGTACAACATGTAACTGACTTCTGCCAAACTGAAATAACTCTCGAATCCTT